CTGTCTCCTGGCGCGGCCGCTCAGACCCGACGCCATCTTCCCCAGGATCAGATTTTATTTCTTCAAAAAATGCACCTGGGATTTTGGTAGGTGGGATTGCATTGAATCTGCAGATCAATTTGCGAAGCGTTGCCATATTAACAATATTAAGTCTTCTGATCCATAATCATGAGATATCTTTCCATTTATTCAGGTCTTCTTTAATGCCTTTCAACAACATTTTGTAGTTTTCAGAGTATAAGTCTGTACTTCATTTGTTAAATTTATTCCTAAGTATTTTATTCTTTTTGATGCTGTTGTAAATTGAATTGTTTTCTTAATTTAATTTCTGGGTTTTTTTTTGATGCTGTGTAGAATACAGTTGATTTTTGTATATTGTTTTGTATATTTGTATCTTGCAATCTTGGTTAACTTGCTTATTAGTTCAAAGAGTTTTTTAGTATATTTCTTAGAATTTTCTGTATACAAGATGGGGCCATCTGCAAATAGAGATAGTTTTACTTCTTTCTTTGCAGTCTAAATTCCTTTTATTTCTTTTCGTTCCCTAACTGCATTGGCTAAAACCTCCAGAATGATGTTGAATTAAAGTGGCAAGAGTAGGAATCCTTGTCTTGTTTCTAATACTGTATATGGATGTCTTATATTATTTAATTATTTGTAATAAAGCCTTTCGTGGGTAGTCTTTTTTTTTTTTCTAAGCTAGTACAGTTAATATATTTGCCAGCTATTAGCATTCTTATAAGGAGATTAGACTAGGCCTTTTTTTTTCCTGATAGGAGGAAAATACTGCTTTAACTCCTTTCACTCTAACAAATTAACTCATTTAAATTTAAATTCAGTTATTTATTTATGTTTTAATATAAACAAGGTAAATATATTAAGAAGGAACTGCAGATGTGTTTTAAAAAATCTTTTATTTCATTTGGTATGGCTTAGTTTTGTTAGTAAGGGCTGAGGAGAGAACTATGGTGAGAAATATACAGTAAATGTAAATATATTTGTATCAGCAACAGATATAACAGCAATTTGTTGTGCTTATTTTGTGTATGTGTCTGCACACTTAATATACAATTCTTTTTTATGCATCGAATATTTGAGAAATCATATGATGGTTTTAATTTTCAGTTTTCTATTTTTTTCAACCTGACCCTCAATCAGGATGGAGATCCGGTTCGCCCTGGAGTGGCTATGACTGACCTTGCCACTGGCCTGTATGCATATGGAGCCATTATGGCTGGATTGATACAAAGATATAAAACTGGAAAAGGATTGTTCATTGATTGTAACCTACTGTCATCTCAGGTACCAATCCAAATAGCATGTTAGATAATGATGTAAAAAATGTGTCTGGGTTGTACCCTTTCAGATCACATCCTGTGATCACGTGTGCAAAAACAATTAAAAAAAACACAAAACAACAGAATAAAACCCCACAAGACAATAATAGCAACAGCTATTCTGTTTTGATGTCCTAGTTTTCATGTTAAAATAAGTGTCCATGAAGATTTTGTTGTAATGGAATTTTAAGGACTGTTTTTTACTAGAATGGGTCTATTACTACTTGTGAAACAAGAATACAGTGGCTTGTACTTTATTGTTATATGAGCTCTATAACTTCTTTTGACCAGATTGTCTTCACCTTTTTTGTGTCATGGACTCCTTCAGTAGTCTGGTAAAGTCTGCAGTCCTTTTCTTGGAATCATGTTTTTAAATGCATAAAATGAGATGCTTAGGATTACATAGGAAAACAGTTACACTGAAATATAGTTATTCTAATGTTAAAAGCAATTTTGTGTTATAATAATATATATAAAATTTACTAATACATTACACCACAAGATCTATTAGTGAGTCTAATGCTATTACAATTTCGAGGTACTGTTGAGCATAAGTGATATTTCAAGATATCTGCAATAACTAATAACTAATATTATATTTGTTACTGTATTAGTGATCAAGTCATAGGTACTGCTAATAATCTTGTGGTTTGTTGCTTATATTCATAATTGAAGAAAATGCTAAATTTTAGTTAGAGGTTGATAAAAATGAAGATAGATTTTTTTTTCTAGTTAAGTTAATTATCTCCTAGAGTTCTGTTCATGGACTCCAGATTAAGAACCCCTGGTTTAGATAGTTATCAGTTATGTTGTGCTTAGTACTAAACTTGTAGAATAAAAGGGTTAATTCACCCTCAAAATGACATTTTGCTTCCTTTTCACTGGATCAGACCCAGATGCTGTACCATATGTGGAAGTTGATTCTGAATAGATAATTTTTCTGGGATAGAAAAAAGAAAATATCTAATTTGTGCAGGGAGACATTTTAATGTGGGAAAGATTACATTCTAGACATAGAGACCTCAGTTGGGAATTTCATATTTAAAAGGCATACATGGGAAAATAGTAAACTTGGAACAGTGCTTTGGAGATTTTTTTCTCTTATGCAAAATTAAGGAGGTGTATAGAAATAAGAAACATCGATATGGTTGGAGGTGAAATACTATGTATGGATTTTTAACACTAGGTTTGAGTCATAGAATCTTAATGGTTATGTAAAAGGGTAAAAGAACTCTTCAAATCATGAGTCTTGCTCAATGGAGAACCACAGATATTGGTTATGGAAAGGAGCTGAAAGCCTTTTCTTTCCTCCCCTAATTTTACCGTGGTAAGGAACCTGAGCTAAATTAAGTGGGTAAAACTTGTATATCCACTATGTATGGAAGCCATGAAGATTTCACAGGTGTGACCTGTGTAGTCATAGAGAGCTCTGGGCTTAGCTGAAATGTTCTGCTGTCACTGCCTTGAGATTCTTAATAAATTTTGAACAAGAGGACCTACAAATTAAGTAGCAAGTCCTGGAGTTGGGACTCTACTTAGGTCTCCTGATCTCAACCTCGACTGCTTTACTCTGTACTTCAATTATTAATTAATGAGCTTTGGAAAAAATTATCTCGTAGAGTAGTGTAGAATTTAACTCTCTTCTAGCACCTAAGTAGTGATACACCACGTGGAGGTGTTTGTTTCCCTGGGGGTTGGGGAGGGTGGGATCACCTGCAGGGCTGTTTCAATGTGAGGCATAGTGTGTGCAAACACTTATATGCATACACACAGATATAAATTCCAATCATTTTTGGTGTGTGTGTATGTGCACCTATGTTTATTGTCCATGTTGCTCCTTAAGAGTATAAGTTCCATGAGTGCAGGGACAATGTTGGTTTTTGCTTACCATGGTATCTTCAATGCCCAGCCCAGTATTTGTCAAATAGCAGGCTTTCCCAATCTTTTGAGATCATTGGGAAAACTGTTACCAATGGGAATGTCTCATAGTTTTGGGGTTGGCTAGGGAAGATGAGAAAAAGATAGAAAACTATTGACTTAGGATAAGTACTTGATAAACAGCTAATGTTGAGATGATTTGCTTTTGGCAAACACAGTAGCAGTGATTTGGCCTACTGTGCTATAGTTAACTCAGTCGAAGGTTGCTAAATTTATTAGTATATTTAAGACTCATTATCTTTTAACAATAAAAATCGATTATGCCTTATTTTATTTTATTTTTTTTTAATTTTTATTTTGTCAGTATACAATGTAGTTGGTTATTATGGCCCATCACCGAAACCTCCCTTCAAGGTTGTTAAATTTATTAGTATATTTAAGACTCATTATCTTTTAACAATAAAAATCGATTATGCCTTATTTTATTTTATTTTTTTTTAAATTTTTATTTTGTCAGTATACAATGTAGTTGGTTATTATGGCCCATCACCGAAACCTCCCTCCCTCCTCCCTCTCCCCCCTCCCACCCAAGAATGTCCTTTCCGTTTGTTTGTTGTAACAACTTCAAAAGATTGTAGTTGTTATATCTTCTTCTCCACCTAACAATGACTCCATTGCAGTGTGATGTATGTATGTTCGAGGGTGTCTTCCTTGCATGCCTCAATGACAAGAACTAGGCATTTCATCTCTGTAACCCCATGACCTAGCAGAGTGCATGGCACACACTAGGCCCTCGATAACTGTTTGCTGTGGAATGTCTGTACTTCTCTGTTGTGTATGTTTACCTAATTAGGCTATTTACTGTTTGAAGGGGTGAGGTGTCTTAAAAATATGCCCAAACATGAAAGCAAATTAATCAATGCTGTGTCTCTCATATCATGGTCCCTTGATTACACATGGTCTTGGAAAGAGTGGACAGAGTAGCTCTGTGAAGAAAGGTCAGTCCACAGCAGAAGGCTGCCCTTCTGATGGCCACCCCAGAAGAAGTGCCAGCTTCCAGAATGAAAGGCAGGGCTGCTTTTTCCAGTTAGCTACACCAGATCTACTCTTCTTTGCAAGTTTTGTCTCAAGTTGTTGAGAGTTGTCACAAACAAAACCTCAACCAACTCTGAACGCCTCACCAATATATCCAGTACACTCAACTGGAACCAAGATAACTTGCTTCCAAACATATCTCCAAGATTTCAATCCTCACTGAAATCTTTCTAGAGTTCTCCTGTTAAATTTTGTTCATGTACAAGATGACATTATGGGACAACATTCATTCTTAGGTAATGCTTTTTGGAAAAGCCAATACTTGTAGCAGAGGCTGTTGGTTCTCTGCCACTTTCCTCTTGGGCTTTACCATTCCAGTGACCACGAGGCCCATGACCAATGCTGGCCTCTGCATTTTTTTTTGCTAGAAGACCTGCTCTCTGCTTGCCCATGGGGCAGACTGGAAGTGCCAGGGAACCAACGTCCACTACCCCTAGCAGTCCTCAGTCAATGACTGATGAGAGTCGATGTATAGATATCACCTCTCTTGCTCCTGGGCTTTCAGAGTTCGTCAGTAATGACTTGCTTGGCAACACACCTTTACTGGCTGCCCTCTGAGTCCTGTCTCACTTTTTCATCCCTTGTGATCCCTTCCTAAACAAACTACTTGCACTTGAATCCTTGCTTGCAGCCAAGTCATATGGGAGGGTTGGAGGTGATATGTGAGCTAAATTTTGAAGGATGGGTAGGAGTTCACCAAGTTGGGGGCAGGAGAGAGAGGTCTAGTCCTGGCATGGCTAACAGTAAATTTATAAGGCAAAGTAGTATGTCCAAGCTGCAGCTTGGTATATGAATAGGGAACAGCAGGAGACAAGGTCCAAGAACTTTGTTGGTCCAAGATTGTTAGGGGCCTTATATGCCATGGTTAGGCATTTTGATTTTAATTGCTCAAGTCTTCCGTTTCTTTATAAATTCTGTGTTTTTAGCCAAAGAATATGTCTCCTTGGGTACCTGCTATCGCTGTCTCATTTAGAATAGCCTCTGGGCTGTGAATAGAGGTTAGAGTTTCAAAGGATACTGGTAACAGGTAATAATTTATGCCAAAGCTCACCAGAAGTACAAGGCAGTGGTGGTAAGAACATTTTCATTCTCTGAACCTACTGCAGTCCGAGCTCTGATTTTCTCTCTCTTTTATCTTTGCCCTATTTCTTGTCTCTGGACTCCTTTTTTCCCCTCTCATGTGTGGTTCTCTAGCTCAGGCATCTCTTTTTTCCTGTTTGTGTTTTTCTGGCTTGTCTTTCTTTACTTTCTTCTTTTCACTACTTTTCTGTGCTCTTTCCTTTGCCCTATTTCTTGTCTCCGGACTCCTTTTTTCCCCTCTCATGTGTGGTTCTCTAGCTCAGGCATCTCTTTTCTCCTATTTGTGTTTTTCTGGCTTGTCTTTCTTTACTTTCTTCTTTTCACTACTTTTCTGTGCTCTTTGCTCTTTTTCTTCTCTCTCTCTTTCCCTCCATCCTTGCTTATGTGGAGCTAAAGTTACAGTAATTCTGGTTCTAGCTCTTACACTGTTATACCATCTCATTCAAGAAAGTTTTAGAAACTTACAGTAGTTCTTCTGGAAGACAAAAGAGGTTCCCTTTCCTAGATGTCCCAGAAAACATGACCATATATTTCACTGGATTGAGTGAACATTCCTAAACTGATTAAAGGTAACTGAAAGATGGAATATGCTTGTTGGCTTAAGCCATCCATGGTACTGGAGATGGGGTTAACTCCACCCAAACTGTAGGGCTGAGACTGGGGGAGAGGTGATTCTGCCAAAGAATTTTCTGGTTATTTTTTGGCCAGAGGAAGGGGAAATGGGTGTTGGGGAGACAACCCACAATCCACAAATGTTCAGTGTACTAATGTACAGGCTTGTGTTGAGGATCGAATGCAGTAATGGATGTGAAAAACGCTTTGTAAATTAAAAAGTATTCTACTGTTGACTAGCATTAATTTAGTAAGGTTATTGAAAAAAATTAACATTGCTGAAATGTGCTGAGATTAAAA